CTTCCTTGCAGTGAGTGATCCAGTTTTAACCAGTGAATCATAAGAAGATGTCACCTATATAATTTCTCATGAAGTGTTTCCTGATAAATGGAACAAATTAGGCTAGCATGACCCATATCACCCATCCTCTGCCTTAAACATACAGATGGCCATCATAACATGATGAGAATTATGAAAAATAAGCCAACAAATACAGTGTCAGGGCAGAAAAAAGAAAAGTGCCTGGATGCTTGTTGGTATGAGTGAGCAAACAAGCCAACACTAGTTACTACCTCTGGACTTAACAGTTATGCAAGAAAAAGAAATCTTTCTTTAAACCATTGCTTTTTGTAGCCAACAGCATTCTTAAGATACAGCTGCCATTACTTAAGACATTTATTAATTCATATGAAAATATGGAGGCCCCGATTCTTTTTAAAAAATAAAAGAAAGAAAGAAGTCAGGACACTGGGCCCAGGTTTCACACAACACCCAATACCAATCGACTAGAACTAAGGGGCCTTTCCATAGGACTCGCTGACTTTCAGATGGGGCTTGGACTCTCCCTGTTCACTGCCTACTTCACTCCTTTAGTTACCTCTCCTCCTGCCATAAGCATCTGAATTTGAGATACTAGTATTCAGCCTACAAAAATATATACTATGCACTATCAAAACAAATGACCTTTATAACCAACAAAATATGTATTTTTTTGCTTCCTAGAATCGAGGTATCTGGCTTAGACAGTCAAGGTCTCAGTTATGAAAATATATGTTCTTTCGCTGACTGCTAACTTTTTCAACAGGCACATAAGATTTTGGTTTACACACCTACACAGAGAGGAGAAAGACAGCATATCACTACAGGGCTACATAATACTGGTTAGGGCTAAAGACAATATGATGGTGATGATATTATGAGAGGCTCAGCAGTGTATGAGATGCTTTACAAATATTATGCCACTTAATCCAGAAATAAAAGTATTAGGTAGATAATACTACTTTATCTTTAAAAAATATATTTTTATTGATTTCAGAGAGAAAGGGAGAGGGAGAGATAGAAACATCAATGCTGAGAGAAAAATCATTAATCAGTTGCCTCTTGCACGCCCCCTACTGGGGATTGAGTCTGCAACCCAGGCATGTGCCCTGTTCAGGAATCAAATCATAACCTCCTGGTTCATAGGTCATGCTCAATCACTGAGCAACACTGGCCGGGATACTTTTATTTTTTTAAATAATGACAGTAAGTCTCTGAGAAAGTAACTGATTCGAAATCACAGAGTTAACAAGCAGTGAACAGAAACTCTGAATATAAGTCTTTCTTACTCTACGACATATACTATTAACCATAGGTTATACTGCTTCCCAAAGAAGAGACTAAAATATCTGATGTTTTTGAGAAACGTTCTGTAAAATTTATCATTCCTATGTAACTATATTCTAACATGACAATTATGTCAAATATTTGATTTTTAATACCCATTAGTATAAGGCCTGATTCCGGTATAGGATTTTTTTTTTTTTCAAAAGGCACTTCCTTCTTAAGTGTAACTGACCTGGTACAGTAAATTCTCAAGATTCAAAAGTGACTCATTTCCAAAGCTCCACACATTAGCAGCTGGTATTATTCAATCTGAGATTTAAATTTATAATGTACTCTTGATAATGTACTCCCAATACATTTTTCACTTCTCTATCTCTTGAATGACACAAGATAAAAAGATCTTTAAGGTATAAATATTTTATATAAACTTTCACTCTGTTTTTTCTCAGCCATTTTCCATTTGCAAACACTAGACATCATGTAAAAAAAAAAAAGAGTTTGAAAGAGTTTTATGGATTATGTTGGAGGTGCTGAGAACTGCGTATCCATTCTGCTGTGGCAGCAGACACCACAGCCCTTGCTGGGTAATGAGAATGTTCCACCCTAAATGGAGTCTGATTCAAAGCACTGCTTTTCCATGGGGCAGAGAGTGGGCTGGAAGGGAACAAATTCCTGGCATCATCTATGATGACAACTAAGTTTGTGCAAGGCCCTGGGGTGCCAATGAGACCCTGGGACTGGTTTACTTCATTCAGCTGGAAGGGCCACAACACAGCCACTCCTCTAAGGCATAATACAGAACAGCAGAGGCTTAGCCAATCGTTTATAACGTTCAAGGCCTTCCTCTCACATTGGTAAAATGAAGAGGTTGGCCCGTCCAAGTTTTAGAAACTATCTGCACCGATTCCCCAGGGCCTTGCTGCTCAAACCGTAATCTGTATATGTTTAACACCTCACAAGTTTATTAAAAATGTGGAGTGGTGATGAAAAAAACTTAAAAAAATAATTAAAAATGCAGAGTCTCAGGCCCCACCCCAGACCTTCAGGATCATACTCTGCATATAACAAGCTTCCAGGTGATTCCTTGCCCTAGGGATCGATTCCAACTCAGCTGCCTCTGGAAGAAAGAACAGAAGGGCCAACGCTAACAGAGATCCAGTACCCCCACACTTTTTTCGATATATATGTATATAGATAGACATATGTGTGTGTGTATATATATATATATATATATATATATATATATATACACACATATATCTTCCACATGCATTAGACTCTGGAGAAAAGATCCCTGTTTAAAGAAAATCTGAAACCACTGGATAAGATGATCTATAAGGTCATTCAGAATTGCAGATATTCCATAATTATATGAATTTGCAAAGCTTATATTTATCACTTTAAGGATGACTTTGTTTTCCACACTAACTCATTTTGAAGAGCAATCTTCTATAATGTGAAACCAATATTCTTATACGCTAAAACATAACTTGATCTTTTCCCAAAAGTATCATTAAGAACACGAGTTACACAAAAGTGTTCCGTCACAGTAAATACCCAAAAAATATTTAGGAATATTAGTATACAGGATGTTTGTGTGTGCTTGTGCATGTGTGTGTATATGTAAATAAATATGCATATATTTGTTAAAATGCATGTACTGACACGTATATGTGTATCTGAATGTATTTATGTATATACACATATACATGTATGCACACATATGCACTGTATATACATGTTTTTATACTGCACATATACATATATACATGTGTGTGCGAGTGTGTGTATAGGGGGGAGGGTCTCAAATTACTATCCATCTTGACCTCATATCTGCTCTACTTTCAAGTGTCTCCATGGCTTCTCTCACCATTCAGCTTGCCAGCTAACACCTCTTGTTGTGTCCACTTTCTAGACTCAAGCAGCTGTCCACTAGAGCTTATTTGTTGGTCTGGAATGAAAAATGAGACTAATGTAGAAGTTGGTAGGCTTCCTTGAGGGTCTCTTTTGAATATAAAGACCATAAGCTTTAGTGCTCAAACTTGATAAAATCTACTTTGGATGATCTTAGCTACCATTTACTGAGATACTATGAGAGGCTAGGCAGTGCACGGGGTGCTTTACAAATACTATGCCTCTTAATCCAGAAAAAAGTATTAGGTAGGTAATATTACCTTTACTTATTTATAAATAAATAACTGGGGGATGGTTGTGCTTTCCTTCTAGTGGTAAGGTATTTTCCCAACTGTACGAACAGAAAACAAAAGCGCAGGTATGTGGAGTCTAACCGTAAATGACTTTAAGGAAAACACGAATTTGACTTTCTCAGTTCTCATCTCTCACCAACCTACCTTATGCAAATAGACTGGTGATCTTTGTGCCAGTGCTTGAAAGGTCTGAAAATGTTAGATGGGGCTGTGTCATGATGCCAGTTACCAGGGGAGCAGAGGGGAGAATGGAAGAGAACCTCCTCAGGCTACACGTTCTGTCTCCATCAGCTTTCACGGGCCACTAAAGCTGCCTCCAAAGCTGGGATAAGCCAGAAAGGTGTGAGTCAATGTGGTTATCATCGGTTCTGACTTCCAGGGAGGCTTAAACCCCCAGGGGAGTCATCCCTCCTTTCTACAAGCTCGGTGAACACCCTTGGAGCACATCGACTCCCAACTCTTCCTATGAGAAAGGCAGTTTCTCTAGATTGCACCGAAAGGCATCCCTGTGGCTAACCCTATAAAGTCAGTGCTGAAGTATCCCGTTTCAAAGTTGGATGACACTTCAGACTGGTTCTCAGAGTTTAGTGTGTATCTGAACCACCTGAAGCACGTGTTAAAAACAGGTTGCTGGGCCCCAGCCCCAGAATTTCTGGCTCAGGAGGTCAGGAAGGGTAGAGAAATGCAGCCAAGTTCCAAGTGACGCTGCTGCTGCTGGGCTGGCGAACACACTTTTGAGATCCTCTAATCCAGGTCAAGCCTTTATTTTACAGATAAGACAAGGAAAACCAAAAGGGAGAAGTGATTGGGCCCAAGGCACAGAGTGGGTGAAAGAAGTATCGATTCCAGTCTCTCTCTCCTGTCTCACAGTTCAGGGCGCTTCCCATCACAGAACAGCTCACGATGAAAGGTATTCAAAGAATGTCTTTATCTATAAAGAAAGATCCTTGTTGTCTTATACTTACGTAGCCTTTGAAAATTTCAACTACATTAGCTCATTTGACTCTATATTATCCCTGATGAGGTAGGCAGAGCAAACATTAGCATCCCTATTTGGGAGATTAGGAAATTGAGATGCAGACTTGTTAAATAGTATATCCAAAGCCACAAAGTTAGTTAAGTGCTAAAATGGATGGGCGTGGTCTGAGATGCTTCAGCACAGACATTCCAGAAAGCTTTTCAGAAACGCAAAATCTCAGACATACTACAGACCCACTGCATCCAAATCTGCAGCTTACAATATCCCCAGCCAATTCATATGCACAATAAAGTTTGGAGAGCATTGGTTTAGATAGGCCTAGAATCCAGGCCATCCAATTCCAAGACAGATGCTTTTTCTCCCCTCTCTTCTCTCCCTCGCTGAAAGTCCTGGTCAGTGTCATATTTTGATTAGTTTTCCAACACAGCCTAAGTAAGAAGTTAACTCTCACCAGGTAAAGGACACTCACAGTGTTGCCCTTAAAAAAACATTAAGCTAGGTTAAATTACCTTTCTTACGAGTGTTGGTAATTCCTCTGAAGTCATTTTCTTGACTGATGTATAGACCCCTATGAAATGAATCCTCTGAGAAGAAGATGGAAAAAAAAAACAAGACAGTGATCAATGGATTCAATTAGTTACAGTATAATTCTACTGAGATGAAAAAAGATCAAGATGCAATGCAACTACTCCAAGGTGGCTAAAATACTTTACCCAGAAAGTACACCATTTCTTTCCCACATTCTTCCTGAACTATTAAATTCAAGAAAGCACAAAACAGCTGCTCCTAAGACACCGGGGAAAATACCCACAATAAATGCAAGGCTCCTCACAACTGGAAGTATTTAAATTCTCTTTTAAAGGTCTAGGCAAGATGACAACTGCATTTCTTCACACACAGGAAGTGTTACACAGACCAATTTCTATAATGACAGCAAGTAAACCCCTCTCACGACATACAGTCAACCAAGAATGAACTCAGTGGTTGCTGTCAGACCACAATTTTGAAACATGTATGCAGGTTTTTCCTTCAACTTTTCAAATCCGTTCTTTTGATTGAGAGTCTGTGTTGAACAGAAAGCAGAATGCTGATACGGTGCACCTGTGCAAAGCTCCTTACTTCAGCACTGCAAAATGTAAATTCAAGTGATTTCTTTTACAATATGTCAATTCCAGGTATTTAATAGATAAATATAATTTCTGCTAATTTCAGAGTTGCTTTGTGAAAACACATGATTAATCAGGGTAGTAAAATTCCAATAGTTAAAATTAATGCTCAGACCCAGCTGGTGTGGCTCAGTGGACTGAGCATCGTCCCATGGACCAAGAGGTCCTGGGTTCGGTAACCAATCAGGGCACAAGCCTGGATTGTGGGCTCGATCCCCAGTAGCGGGCATGCAGGAGGCAGCTGATCAATGTGTCTCATCGATGTTTCTAACTCTCTCTCCTTCTCCCTTCCTCTCTGAAATCAATAAAAATATATTAAAAATAATAAATAAAATAAAATTAATGCTCAGGGCCCTGGCTGGGTAGCTCAGTTGGTTAAAGCATCATCTCAATATACAAAGGTTGTGGGTAAATTCCAATAGTTAAAATTAATGCTCAGACCCAGCTGGTGTGGCTCAGTGGACTGAGCATCGTCCCATGGACCAAGAGGTCCTGGGTTCGGTAACCAATCAGGGCACAAGCCTGGATTGTGGGCTCGATCCCCAGTAGCGGGCATGCAGGAGGCAGCTGATCAATGTGTCTCATCGATGTTTCTAACTCTCTCTCCTTCTCCCTTCCTCTCTGAAATCAATAAAAATATATTAAAAATAATAAATAAAATAAAATTAATGCTCAGGGCCCTGGCTGGGTAGCTCAGTTGGTTAAAGCATCATCTCAATATACAAAGGTTGTGGGTCCAATCTCCGGTCAGGGCACATACAAGAATCAACCAACGTCCTTTGGTTTTGAGCACAAAATTTCCTCAGTTTACCTGAATATTTTTCATTGTTAATTGTCATTCATATTTACATTATTTGGATTGCTTTACAATGAAATAGTAAATTAGTATCCTGGATAAATTTTTATGCCTCCCCAATGCTTTTAAATCTATAAATAAAGAACATTTCAGATTTAAAAAAAAAAGAATCAACCAATTAATGCATAATAAGTGGAACAACAAATCAATGTCTCTCCCTTCTTCCCTCTCAAAAAAAAAAAAATTAATGCCCACAACACAGTAACAACCAATTATAACACCTTAGTAGGTCAGCATATTAAATAACACAAAATTTGTAACATAAAAATTACTTTAGATTCCCCCCTCTATTAAAATGTTTCTTTCTAGTTTAAAAATAATGTGTTGAATTAATAAAGCTGATCAAGTGAGTAATAGAATCCACAATCTTAATCTTATTATTTTCAAATATGAAAGGGCTTTTCTGCCAAGAGCCAACTGCCTCCATTTGCCTAAGAACAATAAAATCTGATTGACTGTGAGCTACCTACGCTGAGATAATTTGGCATGGGCATACTACCTTTAATTCTCCTTGCATTTCTTTATCAAGATACACAAAGCTGTTAGTGGTTTATCCCTCTGAAACCTGGGGATCCATGTAAACAACTTTTAACAGTGGGATTGCACATAACAGTTTACAGAGCACTGTGGCATAATGCAATTCAGAGTTGTTCTTGATTTAAAATGTTTAAAGTCCAACCACAGTGTCAATCTGCCCAGAGAAATCTCTTATAAAAGTTTTCACACTCTGTTGGGTTAAGAGACAGTGGGTATTAATCCCATGGCTTCTACGCCAAGCTTCCTTTTTGTGGTCAGCAGAGAAGCTGTGTGGTTGGTCTGAAAGAGTCCAAAGTCTTTTTTCTGTGTTAAAACAAGGGAAAGTGGGCCGGTTACAGAGTAAAAGAAAAACCACAGCCAGCTCACTCTGCTGTAGCTTTCCCCTTAAATGTGGCCTAGAGCTATTCTGCTTTCCAAAAAAAGGTTTAATTTAAACCATACCCAGTGCTGCAGGCTGCCACGTTTCCAAACTCGACATTCCTCTCTAATCTGTGCACTTCAGAACCAACACACTGTTTCCAGCGGTCCTCAGACGAGCGCTAATAAATAAAATATCACTGCCCATCCATTACTTAATTTGATAATAATACACCCTTTTTTCCCCTTCCTCTATTGATGTTATTCTAAGTGCTTATTCGAGTGTGTTCAACTGCTGTAAACATCACCTCTGAAAAAAACTCGGTCTGTTCTCCTCTGGAGAGTGAAGGGAAGGGGAACTAAAGTAAGGAAACTTAGGAACACTAGCAGCGAGTGGTCCAGAGCAAGGAAATGGCCACTCTGAAGAGACTGTGTTTGCTGCAAACAGCTTCTTGTCTTTGCATTTAAAAATAAAAATAATGTTTGCCTGTTTCCTCCTTGGATAGGACATTCGAATCTGTGCTATTATTCGCAATGTCACCGGCAAGCACACAGTCACCCCAGCTCACAGCTACAGAACAGCCACGTGACCAGCCCAGGTCTCCGGTCATGGTGTGGCTGGTGCCGATCACCCACCGGCCGCGGTGAACAGAATGGAGGCTCCGCAGCTGGGGGGCTTTAATTTTTTGCCACCGTGTATTCACTCGCGTGTTCATTAAGAACTCCAACCCCAGCGGGAAGTCCGGCCGCACGGTTTTCCATGCGAGTTGCCATGCTCTATTATACATGACACTTGTCAATTAAAGAGGAAACCCTTTTAAAGCAAACTGAAGTTAAGCTGGTACTTTCTTCAACATCTGATTTACCGCTGCTGTTATCGTCCAAAAGGAAGTTTGTTTTAGAACAATGATAGCAGTAGTAATCCTCCTATTTCAGTAGTGAGGGATTTAAACACATTCAGGGCACTGGGGACCAGTCAAAAGGTTTCTTTCAACAGAACTATGTATTTTCAGTAGTCAAAGGAAGGTCTTACTGATGGGATAACTGCCAAGATTGGACAATTTTTCAGCCTAACAGTTTAGAGAATATCATTTTAAACTACCTGGTATAATACAAATGTGGCACAATAGATCAATGCAATGAATTCTCTACAGTCAGTAAAATGCTCTCCCAAATAATGGAATCCATTAATAATGATTACTGCCCCCGTGCCTTTACCACAAAAGTAATGCCCAATGCTACATCTCAATGGTCTCTAATAAATACACACAAGTCCCACAATAAGAACATAATCACAAGATGGCAAATGAGTGCAGATTCCAGCGAGAATGCAAATTAAAAAGCCATTATTTTACCTTGTAATAAGCACGTTACTTATCTGTAAAATGGGGCTTAGAGGAGATGATCTCTTAGGCCCCTTCCAGCTCTTTGAGCCCATGAGGGTTTAAAGTTTTCTCAAGGTTTTAATTCTTAATGCACTCACTATGGGACTACCACCAGCACACACATAATAATTAATGCTAATAAGAGTCCATGAAATTTTTGCAATGAAACTTTAACTTGGATTGAGCTGGAGGGGAAAGGAAATGTAAAAGAGATTTCAACTTCAGATTTTTAAAGTTGAACAATATTTTGTTTTCTAAAAAATCTAAAAGCACCTTTGGACTGGTGAAACATACAACTTCCTAGAAATGTAAGTAGGTGACCCAACATGCATGGATACACTTACGAAAGAATATCTTTAAACTCAAAGCTCAGAACTTATTTCCACTATGTCCTAGCTCAGGGGTCCTCAAACTACGGCCCGCGGGCCACATGCAAATACAAATATTGTATTTGTTCCCGTTTTGTTTTTTTACTTCAAAATAAGATATGTGCAGTGTGCATAGGAATTTGTTCATAGTTTTTTTTTTTAAACTATAGTCCGGCCCTCCACCGGTCTGAGGGACAGTGACACAATGCAGACACTGCTGCTTCTTGTTGTTGTTAATTGGATCCATGTTGTAATCTGGTTAAACCCAGGGCTGTCTTCAAAGCCCTTTACTCTCACTTGATGTTGACTGCTTGAAACACCGAAGATCAGGCCTCAAGACTGGCTTACATGCAGCCTACTTCTCTGCTATACATCAGCGATTTCCAACCTTTTTCATCTCATGGCACACATAAACTAATCACTAAAATTCTGCAGCACACCAAAAACTGTATTTTTTGCCAATCTGACCCAAAAAAGGCATAATTTTGATTCATTCACACCAGATGGCTATTGTGCTGGCTGTTGTCACTTCTTTATTTGACAATCTAAGGAAAAAGAGGTCAGTGCCCCTGCCTCAATCATCAGATAGTGCATGTTTTAAAAATTCTTGCAGCAGGCCAGTTGAAAATCACTGCTACAGAGCTTAAATTTGTTCTATTTAAATATTTGTTTTTAAATTATCAATCTACAATATTCACCAACAGCCTGAATTGAGGTGTGTTTTTTAAAGTATTCTTAGCTTGGGAGTCAAGTGTCAAATTATCTCCCACTCCTTTTAACAAGCCTTTAAAACACTCTTTTAATCCTCACCCAAGGGCATGCTTACAGAGAGGAAGGGAGAAAGAGGGAGGGAGATAGAGGGAGAGAGGGGAAGAGGGAGAGAGGGAGAGAGGGAGAAAGGGAGAGAGGGAGAGA